TATGCAATGTGAATTGAGATCAGAAATTTATTTTTTGGGTGTATTGTTTTTATACGTTTCCGATGTCTAGAACATTTTTATAAATATAATACATTTAGAGAGTACACGCTGTTAATGTTATATAGTAAAATTTATTAAAGTGACCACCTGTACAGGTGTGTTAAACTAAAACAAAAAGAATACGCCAGGTTAGTAATCTAGATTGAAAACCTTCTTTTAAGCTTTAGTATGGGACTAGAGAATACTAATGGACATCTTGAAAAAAACTCAGTGATAAAGCATACTAATACGATAAAGTAGCTTTATATAGTGTTCAATAGACAGAAGACTTCACAGTCACAGTGGAATTAATTACGTTTCTTTTACCGCTAACTTGTTTGAAATATCTACTTGGAAATGCTCTAGTAAAAATGCAAGTCAGTCAGTAGATCTAAATTTTTTGCATGACTTATCTGCAGATAACAGTTTATTCAATTTGAGGATTTAAAGAGGTTATCTTATACTTTTATTAATCGGTGAAGTGACTGAAGCTGGAAAACATTAGTCATTTAATTCCAGCACAACAGCCGAATAGTGATGTACTCATAACAAAAATTAATGCTATGGAACTGAGTTTCGCATAACGTCGTGGGAGTGAATTACTAAACGGTTTTCAACTGAGGGATTTTAGTGTATGATTAAAAGTTATTTTAAACGCTATATTGATGAGGTATGTAGAAGGATATACATATACTACTAGAAATATTTCATCCACTAATAGTTTCCAGTCTATCATTACTAATAAAACTACTGGTCTCTATTAATGTTAGTGCGACAATTTTCTACGTTTATTACTTGGATCTAATTCTCAAATAATAAGACTGTCATCTCTTAGTTGTATGTGTAATATTTTTATCTGTAACCACTGAAGTATGTATTTTGGCACACTACTAAAATTCACTTCCCACTCATATCAACAGCAAAAACAAATTAATGTGTTATTTGTGTGACTATAATTTAGAAGTAATTCAGAACAAGAATTTTCGGGGTTCGTCGGCTGAAATAGAGTTACTCTGCAGTCAGTTAGGTCTATGTATAATTGAAAATCTTACCTTGTGAGTACTCTCCATTTACTCAGACTGTATCATTTCAGTTATGAATTACACAAGGATGGTTATTGATTGTTCAATAGAAAGGAGATCCCAGCAGTATTGTATAATAACATGAAATTATATGACCAACCTCATTAGTAGATATCTTAGCAATGCCTCAATCAAATAGTTTTTCGTCAGAAAGTAGCTATTTTACTGTTTCAGAATGTTACTGCTAGTGTGTATCACTTAAAATGAGAATTCTTGTTGAGATATATAGTTCCCAACCTATGCCTTTCTATAAATCAGAATCATCCATCATAAATATATTCGAAGCACTCAGGTACTGGCTGAATAACTGACTTCAAGAGGAGAATCATGTCCAGAACGGGAGTAATAATAAATCTCACTCTGTCTCCAAAGTCTAAGTATTATATACTTATTCACTAAATTAATACTGCTATCCTCCTTTCGATGAATTTAAATTTCTAAAAAAAACATACCGCTACATATTAAAAAGATAATCAGGTTGAAATTAAAGGCAGTGCTGAAGTATCCATTCTCTTAGCCTACAGGTAAAGAGATATTCACAATTTTCCCCTCGGAAATGACAAAGATAGAGATTGGTAACAGCTACATAAAGGATGATTAAGATTACCGCTTCAATGGAAGCCTTAAAAGCATCTCAGTTTTGAATGTTTCTCAATTCACAATAAATCCCATGTAAAAAGAAAATGACGTTCTGTATTTCAACGTTAAGCACCAACAAATGAAATCAAGTTGAAATCACAGTAAACATTTTAAAAATCCTGAAAGAAATGCATCTGACAAAAGAAACTGATCAACATACTACTATGAATTAAACAATCGAAAGGACTAATTTTATGTAACAACTGTAGTCTGGCTATTTTAATCAATCCTTTTCTTAAATAAAACTAAGGTAGTCATTCAACGCAGTACAGGACTTCATACCTTTCTCACTTGATGAGGCTAATAAACCGCTCAACATAATACAGAACTGGGCGTCATTTTGTAATCATCTGACATCCCAGTTGCCTCTGAGTTATTCTTATCATTGTGATAACAAAAACTCGAGATAAGAGTTAAAAGTGCCGTTTGAGTAGATCGGATTAACACTTACATTTATTGGTTTATAGGGAATAATTGTGAAAATGTGGCTGATTGACTTAAGCACTCAACTTTCATCCTTTAAGTCCAGTGGTAGAATTTCGCTCCACCTATTTCAGCCTAGAGGACTAACTTTTATCTTCACCCCTCATAGCTCGGTACTAGGCAAGTGAGTTCTAACCAGAAGTGGGAAAAATAAGTATCATTCATTCTGGTCCTGAATTCTGCCAGTGAAGTATGCACTGTGGTCACCAGGCTAAAAGATGCGGTGTCGCATTACACTAAGTAAATTTTAGATAATTTGCAATAATCAACAGAAAGCTCTGAATCTGCATTTCGTACTTACTGCTACTTGTTATTAAGGCACATTTGAAGCCTTGAAGGGACCGATGTTCGCTGAAAGTTACATATCCATATCAAGGAGTGTTGCCGTGAGAAAACCAACCAGTGAGTCATTTGAACCATGACTGGTCTTACGTAGAGCTGCGATAAGCTCTAACATAATAGGTTTAGTGAACTATATCCAAAAGACTTATGAATGCTATTTTGAAGCCAACCCAGTATTTGTGTAATGCGTACTGTTAAGAACTTCTGTTAGTTTTTTTGGAACTGTCCTAACTGATATCACTTCCATACAGAAAATTTATTAAAAGCTGTTAAGGCTACTTGATCAATTTTCACTACTTTAGCCCTCCATTTTACTTTTTACCGGAAGGTGTTTTACTCAGAGAATGTTTGTTCATCATGCGAAAAACTCTAAAGACTACCAGCTTATTTGCCAACTAGTATGTAATAGGTATTTCCATCCACGATACCAAAATATTCACAACCATTTTGTGTCGATTACGGTAATAATTTTGGAGAAAATTGTGATTTCATGGGATATGTTTGTTAAAGTCTTCAAGATCTTTTAAAATTTCCTCACCACAAATCAATTTCCAGAAAGCTATCGAAAGTCAAACTGACTAATTCGCCTCTATTTGAGATTTTTAACTGTATCTAGCAACCAGTTCACAAAGTACCTACCTGTCTGCTTTTAATATCAGCGCAACCGGAGTTTGCTGAATTCCTAAACACTATCAACACAAAATCTATCTTGTAGCTGAGTAGTGTATTTTTCAACAGTCTAAAATCTTCTGCTTAGATTTTAACTCACATACATCTAGAATGTTCTACTTACCAGTAGAAAATAATAACTTTAAACTTCTTTATGCAGAGAATGTGATTATGAGCTAAAGATCACATATTTCTGAAGTGTACGTGTGGCTACATGAAACTGGCTACCATTTCATTCAGAGTTTGTTAGCAATATAACCATTATATCTACAAACCAATAAAATCAGCTGTGTAACATACTAGGGTTTTAAGACAATAAATTAATAAGCATACAGTTTTTCTAAGGTGTCAAGACAGGAACAAACTTATGGTTATAAAACTCAGTTTGTAAAAGAACTTAAAGATACCAATTTTTATCATTCTCAATAGGTACCGTTATTTCTAAAGGATGGGGAAAAGTAATGTATGCCAACTTCAGATACGGATGGTTAAAAAAATCAAAAGACGACTTTGAATATAAAAATTGTGCGCTGATATTAACTATGAAGAAGAAACTAATGAATAAATCTTACTGATTTTAAATTAAATAAACGTCCTCTGAGAGCATAAATCGAATATTTGAAAATGGGGTAGCTTCAGTGTAACAGTTATGATTCACTTTAATTAAATTCACTACTAGTCTTCACATTTAATCTTATAAAACCAACAGTTAAAGTGTCAGTCAACTATCGAACAAGTTAGTGGCAATGCATACCAATCCACCAAATCAATAACTGGTAGCTTCTATGAACAGTTTAAAGTAAATACACACAATCCACAGAAATCTTCTTTCAAATACAATTTACAAAGTTTTCCTTCTATTTAGATTAAAATACAGTTGAAAACTTGTTGAATGATGATTACACCGATCAAACTGAATAGTGATTACACTGTGGTCAAATCATTTCAGACTGTTAATATCTGGTAAGGTATTGAGGTAAGTGATTACCACAGCAAAGAAAAACATCAATGTAGTTGCATAACTACAAGTAATTATGAATCCCCGTTTGTCTAGGGAATTATTAAAACTTCTTTTAGTTACCTTAACATTATTAACCTTACATGACTTCTACTTTCATAAAATACAAAGCTTTTTTTTAAAGGTTTCTTTGTAAGAAGAAAAGGTTACGTAATACCGAATTGTTGAGATATCATCATTAGTGTCACAACTATGAAAAGTATTTCTGAATTGTTATTTGGTAGGTGATGACTAACAGTGGCATCGGGGATGCACATTTCGTCGAAGCATCCGTGCTATGAGTTGGCATATCAACAGTGACTGAACACTGCAGTCTAATATACTCGATCGATGGGAAATACAAAATCAACTTAAATATTGTTCAATCGTGTTGCATTTCTACGGGTAATCGGTAATATGGTATACTTTTTCCAATTAATCAACAAAGTTTATTTACACTCATGCCCTTAATCACGGAAGAATATCACCTGGAGAACCGTAAAAAGAAACAAAGATAAATAATCTTCATCATATCTGTGGATCTTGACTACTAAAAAGGGACATCCCAGAAATTTATTCTTTTTATCTCTTTTCCAGTAATCTATGATTGATCATTTCGTTCACTGGTGGACTTGAGGCTAATGACAACGAAACTGCCGCTATTATACACAAAATAATATGAAACTATTATCATAAAACTATTATCAAACAAAAGCCATAAGTGCAGTTTTTCATAATGATAGTCTTACCTATTCAATATTTTGATTCTTCTGTAGAACAATTAGGAGGAAGTCAGTATTCCAAATGATATCAGCAGTTCATTACAGTCCTTCTTAATTATAAATTTCATGAGTAAAAAATTGATAATTTAATTTTTGTTTGGTGTGGTTTTATTTCAGAATACAAACGAATACTTCTTTTCCAAGGAAGAAGTCTATGGACATGGATAGTATGATCCTCATTTGAAGTATAGTGAGTTTTGATGATTAACTGACTGGTAAATCGACTGTGTAGTATGTCAAAATCCAGGTAGAATGAATAAATACAAATAATACTTTAGATAGATAGATATATTGTATCCTTTATTTGATTTTTTAGATATATTTCTTCTCTTTTCAAATAAATAAAAGTTTGAATTATCTGTTGATCAAGAGTAAAACAAAAACAACATCAAATTTTGAAATATCAAATTGAACACAATAATCCAGCTAAAATTGGTAAATTTTCAGCAAATTCTACGGACAAATAATGTTAAAATAATCGAAACACAACAGAAACTACAGTTTCAAGAATTCCATAAAGTGAGAAATAGAACAAGTTGGGTGGAGCGAGCGAGAGAGTGAGAGAGAGAGAGAGACAGGCAAACACCATGGTGAAAAATCGAAAGCGAGCATACGTATTATTGTCAGTTAGTCACTTAACAATAATCCACAAGAATTCTCATGATGAGGATGATGAAATGCCAGCCAATTCATTTTTTGATGGGTATACTGAACAGAATTAGAAAATAATCAGTATTATGGTGAAAAATACCAACTAACCAGATTTGTATGTATGCATGTGTGTGTATGTGCGTGTTGTCTGACTATGCATACATTGCAAGCTTGTGTGTTTGAGTGCTCTCAGGGAAAGCTGCTTTCCTTTCAGAGAAAAAAAAAGCGAAATGAATGCGAAATCATATCAATGTTTATGACAGGTTTAAACTGCTGTTTAGTTAAAGTGAATGATGATAATATGTGTCCTGAAAGAGCATACACGCTGCAAAAATAAATGGAATTGAAAATTTAAGTAACAAGGGGCTTTATATATATATATATATATATATACATATATATATATATAAATGTAACCCCAGTCGCTCTCACACATTCACTCACTTGCTAACTGGCACTTAATCTCTTTTTTCAATTGGGAGTGTTTACTGTTATATTTACAGAAATATTTATTCCACTGAAAGAATGATAGTCTGTCCCTAGCTAATTCTCTCTTCAGAAAATATAGAGTGGGAATTTATTTCAAAAGGAGGGTGTATATATTTAAGTCGTGTATATGTGTGTGTATGGGTTAATTGGGTAGCTAAAAGAAATATCAACGAGTCTCTCAATTTGATTGGATTGCCAGTAGAAACGAATGAGCAAATGAAGACATAATGACTATACTAATACTACTACTAATAATAATAGTATTGCCTGAATTATAACCAACCGCTGAAACTTACCAATCATACTGACTACCTGGAGTTCATAAATGGGAATTACAGTAGACTGACAAAGTGATTATCAATTTTAGCCTTGAAATTATTTCAAATTTTTTCTTCCTGAATCATTATAGTAAAAAACCGTTATCTAAAATAAAAGATTTGAACGAATCATATAAGGTAGAGAGTGGATGTGAAGACAGATAGAAAATAGACCTAGAAAAACAAACTTTTACTAATGTTTCTACCAAATAGATAAAACTACGGGATAGAGTTATGCCGTTGTAGAAACTGACCAATCACAAAGTAAGCAAATGATTTCATACAATGTTTGGATTGGTTATTGCATGCGCTATGCAATGAATATTGTATGTATGCAACAAGACAGGGGGAAGAAGTAGAGTAGTAGAAAGTGAAAATTATACCAACAAACAGTATGCATACATACTCACATACAAAAGACGATTTGCAAATAATACGATATTTCTGTAACAGTAGGAAATGAAATAGAAGAAACAAGTTGAAAAGAAAAACAAAAATTCATTTTCCCTAATATTATAACTATCTTTTAACACTTGCTATGCTAAAAAAGTAGTGCATAAACAAAAGAGACGCAGACAAGCATGTGCACATGTGTACACATACGAAATAAAAGGACACACTTCCAACTTTACCTGTAAAAGCCTTCAATTTGTTGAAGTGTGGCTGATACCTTCAGACAACGGATAAGATGTGGTAGATAAACCATAAATAATTCGCGACAAATCATATATATATATATATTGATTTCAACGTGATATTTTTATCAGAACAGTTTAATTTCAAATCAAAATAAATATTCTACGCACAGTATTCAAAAATAAAATTTGGGTTTTGACAGCAAATTAACACTGAAAACAAAAGACTATTTCATAACTGTTTTAACCAATTTAGAGATTCTTCAGGAATGTGAGCAAGGCGATCACAGTTATCAGAGCTCTCTATAAACACGTTAATACTCAGACAGAGTTCAAGAAGTTTGGAGAAACAGCTATTCAGTGTCTTTAAGTTCATATTTGAAATTAATTATTTTCCTCCTAATCTTTCAATGTGACATATAAAGATCTAGTATATTAATAAAGACTTATACTACTTATAGATGAAGAGAATAGTAGTCAAAATTTGATACTGATAGGATAATTACTTATAATTATGGTTTGCAGAAAGAGCACCCAGTGTAATTTAAGAACTCTCATTTGATCTGTATCTTGACCTAAAGCCTATGAACTTTAGATACAACCTTCTATACAATGTGTTCTACTTCAGTTAATTTGCAATAGATTGATCACATCATAGCTAAGACTGCTACACACTAAATACTCAATTTTATTTGTATTTCTTTTATAACGAAGAGTATTAATTTCTAGCTAGCTTAATTGTTCAGTCACAGTAGTTGGTAAAGACCAATGTACATTATTCTCCAAGTACAGAATCATCTTTCTTTATATCCCTGTTAATCAATGAACATTGAGGTATACCTTAGTTTATTTCTGAGAGTTTAAATCCTAAGAAATAATCAAATAGAGGACATCAGGGTAGATTTCTTCGTGAACCTACAGTGAACCACTAATAAACAAAGAGCATCGAACGCCTGCCGCTTTCTAGTATGGGATTCATCTAAGACCCTATGATGATAGATATGGAATAACTAAGATCAGTATTAACTCAGCTTCAATGTCAGTTCAAACATAAAGTATTCTATTCGGTCAACATTTTATGTCGAGGTTATACCTGATCAACAGTTAGACTTTTGGATATGAAGTATGTAGTTAAGACGGAAAGATATATCATTTTATTGCCAGTTGTTAATGCTTAATTTTTGTGTACTTTTATTCATTATTTGAATTTCGCTTGTTTATTTTCATTTCAGAATAATAAAATATACGAACACATGTGTTGCTGTCAGCGTGATGAGAAATCTAGTAGTGCAAAGACAGGGCTCATTATATTTCTGCATGCACTGATATACTGCTATTATGGGTTTTACACGTACTTTAGTCTTCTAGTTATAACGATTTATTCACGTCTGTAATGCTCTACTTATTCCATAACAATAATTATAATAATAGTAATAACTGCTCTATTTAAGAAATTACCGTAACATTTACAGTACAGAATTCATGGCAAATAACATTTTTTTAGTGCAGTTTGCCAGAAGATATTATAAATCGTCTGTTTATAACCATTTTTTTGCAAAAGGACACTGATTTCGATGAAATGATTTTAAAATTATTGGAGATACAATCATGTGAATTATGCAACATACTTCCATTTGACCCAGAATATAACACAGGGCCTCTCGGTGTGCTGTCGTTGATCCATGACGGTATGCAATATGACTTGAGGACATTATTCAGAAGTTCCATTTTTTTAAAGAAAATTTTCCGATAAAAGAAGTCAAACTCGTAAGTGTGGACTAAGATTTGAATATGGTAATCCTGTTTCACAGGAACCCAGCATTAGTCACTGACGTTTCTACCACTCGACAGCTTATTTCATTGAGAAATGCATATAGGATAGCAGACACTGATGCAACTATAAACGACTTGGTCCAGCGTAGAATTTGCAACTCTCGACTAGAACTGCGCAAATGAGACAATGCATCCGGTAATCAATAACATGTGCTTCATACTTATATAAGTTTAATGAGATGAAGAAATCGAATTAGGCTAAGCAGAGATCAGTGAAAGATGAAATTCAGCTGGTATGGTTATCTGTATTTCTCTGGTTTCATTGTCCCTAGTTATCTTTTTATTTCTGTGACTTTCCCTTAGGCGGAATCTAATTCTTACACTTGACTTAATTTACGTGACAAAGTCAACGTAAAGTTGTGCTAAAAAGTAGTTTATTTACAGATATCCAAGGATGTGCAATGAAAAATTATGCAGTGTATAATATCCTTAGTTTTCGTTAAATAAAATATTTTTCAGTTTGGAAAGAAATGTATCCTAGATATTTTTATTTTTTATTACAGCTTGATGCCACACCGTATTTCCAGTACAAGTATGGCATTTTCAGCATGGATATCGGTAGCCCAAATTTTGCAGGCCGACCATAGATATCGGGTGTGCGTCGGTAGGGGTTCAAACCCCGGACCATGTACATGGTCGGCGAGAGTCCTAACCGCTGTGCCTCCGACGCATCTATTTTCCAACGTTGAAGAGAAAAGGTGGTTGGTTAATTGTTGAGATTGTGACACAACTTAACTCTACTTTTGAACAGACGAATCCACTCAAAATTTTCAAGCAAAAATATGAGCACAATGTACACCATATACTTAGCTTCAATGAAAGGAACACTGTCGTTCTTATTAATGGTTATTTATTATTAGGAGATTTCATATTACTCAAGAATTAAAAACATCCGGTCGCAAGTCAACATTACTGTGATCACCTTATTGATTTATAAGCATATCTGTCCTCAGGCAATTTTACCTAATAGTTATTTATTCTTTTCTTTAATTCGAACAACTTAGACCTCCTAACAACTTTTTGAGATCATAATACTACTGACATTTTTTAAGTAGCTTAAGTAAATTAGACAAATTGTCTAATGATTTCTCAATGAAAATAATTGCTTCAGGTTTATATTACGAAATGATACACTAGAAATACGGGTGAATAACTGTTTATAACTTATAAGGAGAAATAGTTTGGGTGATGTGTTGATGAGCAGCAAGAATGACACAATGATGATATGATATACACATATTGTCCTCCCACCCAAATATTCCTGTTTTACGTGAACTAGAAAACTGTTAGCCAGCCAAATTAGGACAATAATTGAATTATCCCGAAATACTTAATGTACCTCAGGGTTGATGCTAATAAGTCCGGATAGGTCCTTAAATTTCTAGAGGTCATATAAAACAATAGAAAGTAATACAACAGAATATCAAAAGACTAGGGATATTTACCATACGTGTTCATTTTAACCAGTCTTCTTAAACAGTGATCATAATCCAGTGTTGACTGATTATGCGACCGCAGATTATTATTTTCATAGAATTGTTTCTCACTACAACAAGTAATTACTAGAAAGTCAGATATTAATGTGACGACTTAATGGTAACGAAATCATCTTTAGATATGAAGTTCATTATCTAAAGCACGTAATTTAGATAAAAATTTTATTACATGTTGGTTTATGTCGGAGAACAAAGGAGAGACACTTTGATTGAAACCATTTTAGTAGGTCTATCTGAAGATCAAATTTAATAGTAATAATTCTTTGTGTTCAAAATGGAAAATAGGGCTTCATTGGTTCCTTTCCATTACACTTGGTCCACTCCCATTACTTTCGGATGGTTCTACAACTGTCCCCACACTTTTATTTTATCTTCATATGATCTTCCGCATTTCGTTTTCGAACCTTCCATCCGTCGATTTCCTCTCGGGTTCCGCTCGAGGGGCTTATGCCTAACTTATCTCTATTTTTTTCTGAATGCTTGTCGGGCGATAGGTACTTGGCTGGTTCGCTACCACAGTCTCTTGTTGTTTATCTCTTTTTTCTGGTCAACTGATCCTCACTATTGGGCGAAGGCATCTGCTGATAAAAGTCTGCAGTCTTTTAGGAATGATTCTGATGACAATCCAATTCTATCAGCCAATATAGAAACACAAACTTCATAATAGTGCTAAAAATTCGAATGTTGTTCTTTGTGCCTAGACTGTACTTAAGACAACTAAATCAGAATTGATTGTTTATTTCCTAATTAGTGTAATGTAATTACTTTCAAATAAAGTAGGAACCCTCTTTATTAGTACTTCACCTTAATACAGTTGATAAGCGGAATGTTAAACTCGAATTCTCCAGAGATAAAAAATACTCTTCATCTTAAGTTTGAAAGTTTACTGTCTTTCTGAATGAGTTTAGAAGAATAAGAGGAATGCAAATAAAAGACAAATGTCTAGCTGTTCTTCAGCGGCAATCTGTCTTGATCTTTTACTTTCAACGGTCTGAACTTTCTGCTAAATTATTAGTTTTGTC